AGGCCACAGGCCGAATGATCAGACCAGGCGCCAAGCCAACTGATCAAATCTACAAAACTAATACGACCTGTCCCAACATCATAGCAGGCGTCCGACGGCATCCCTCCGGATGAAATTCGTCGCAGAGAGCAGCTCCCTTTTGGGTGGAACATTGTTCTATAAACTAATTACACGGCACCTATACGACTGTCCCCAAGGGAAACCACGTAGCCGTTTTTGAGACAAGGATAACTCTATCACTAACCAAACCAGTGGTAGCAGTTGACATCTGAGTCAGATGACCGCCTGTATTACTTGGGATAAATGCAGGGGGTACCTATTGAGTTAATAGCCAACAAACATTGGCGAATCAAGGGGTCTAGCCGGCCTACGCCGCCTGGTACCTCTACTACTCAAGCAAAAGTGACGGCGACTGAGTAACTCCAACGTTTACTCATAGTCACTCCCTCAAATTTGGTATGGAACCTAAAAAGGTTTGAGTAGACCACCTGTTTTTTTGGCTAACAGGGGCACTCAAACCCCTATTCCTACTAGGTAACCTATTGAGTTAATAGCCAACAAACATTGGCAAATCAAGGGGATCAGCCGGCCTCCGCCGCCTGGTACCTCTACTACTCAATCTAGATTGTGACGAAGACTAAGTAACTCCTATGTTAACTTAATAGTCACTCAAACTTAGTATGGAGCCTAAAAGGTATGAGTCGTCCGCCTGTTTTTAACAAACAAGGGCTCTCAACCACTACTCTTGCTAGGTTAAAAAATTATGAGTTAAAAGCCAACAACATTGGCAATAAAGGGAAACAACCGGTACCCGCCGCTTGTTATCTCTACTACTCAATCCCTTGGCGACTAGGTAATACTCTATTTACTTGGTCAGACCACTTTCCTACTTGGTTAAATTTACAAATGACAGGCCCGCCTGCCTAAAAAGGATCCAGACAAAATAGTTCGAATACCGATTGGATAAATGGCCGACTGATCGTCTATCCTGGAAACAGACAACCAGTCGTCCAGGGGCATAGGCGGCGTACTACCTATCCGTACCTGTCTGCAACGTTCGGCCATGTAAAACAGTCGGTCTAGTAAACAATTGGATATTAGATATGGAATACTTAGACAAATTTGAAGCAAAACAAAAATTCATTAAAAAATAAGCCGGTCATTAAAGACCAGCAAAATATTCAAAGCCCCGGCCCCCTGGCCGGGTAAATACAAAGCAAACGGCACGCAGGCCGTGGAAAGAATACATAGAGCTTAAGAAGGGGGCAGTTCAGTATTAGCAGCTGCCGCCTGGTCAGCACTCTTCTTGCTGGACTCGGCTTCAGCTGCATCCTTTTTTGATGCCTTACCCCCAAGCGGCACAAGCGCCACTACCGGCTCCTCCTCCTCCAACGCTTCCCCCAACGCCTCTTCTTCAGCAGCCGCCAGGATCTCTTGATTATATGTTTCCGAACACTGGCGGTACGTTCTTTCCCAAGAGGCAAAGTCGGCACTGGGGAAGAGGCGGCCCCAGGTCATGCGCTGGATTTGAGCGGAGTCTTCCATCATCTCCCGGACCAGCTCTTTCTTCTCTTGCTCGGCCTTTTCCGAGAGCTCTTGGGTAAGACTCTTCTCCTGGGTCACCAGGCGTTCCTTTACGCTGGCCAAGGATTTCTCCATGGCTTCGTAAGAGTACATTTTCAGGCGAAGAGGTTTCAGCTCGGCCTTGAGATTTGTGATGGTCGCCTCCAGCTCGTCATTCTTCTTTTGGGCCGCCTCTAACTGAGCCCGAACAGCGGCGGTAGCCTGCGCCTGATAATAAAGAATATCAATGGTCAGTACTTCATTTTGGGCAATTTGAAACATTGCCTTATCACAGTCAGAGGCGGCCATAGCTTTTGCAGCCTTTACCTCTTTGTTCTTCCGATCAAGCGGCTTGCGAAGGCCGTTAACTCGGAGCAGGGCCTAAGTACAAAAAAAACAGGCGTCAGTTTCCAAACAAAAAAGAAAACAGGCGTCCAGAAATTCAAATACTCAAAAATATGCTAAGTATACCTCAGCAAGGACCCCTGCAATCCCGTCAAGGTCAAGGGTGCCGACACCCCTGACCGCCTCCTTTTCAGCTGGAGGAACTGCCCTGATCATAGACTTGGCCATCTCTACCAAGTCAGGCTCCTGGGGGCCGGCTGCATTAAGCATAAACAAACGGATTAGACTTAGTAAAAAGGAGCAAGTCTAAAATTTACAAGGACAACTTCATACCTCTAGGCGGCCCAGTTGGAGTTTTAGAAGAAGTGGTCGGCTGTTTCTCAGCCGCCACCTGTTTCCTGGCAGAACCAGGAGAGCTCCCAACAGTCGTTTTCCGGGCCTTGGGGTCCGGCTGTTGGGAAGATGAAGCTCTTGGAGCACCCGTCTAAAAAAGAAGAAAAAAGTCAGTATATGCATAAACACTCCAAAAAGAGGGTGAAAGGTTCGGAGCTCACCAAGGGTGCCCCCTTCTTGGGGGAGTCGGTCGAAGCTTGTTGCATAATAGAGGCCCGCAACATGGCCGCCGCAGTCTTGGAGGCGGTGATTTTGCTCATGGCGTCAGCTGCAAAAACAAACAGCAAAGTTAATAAAAGATAAACAACAAATGTATGGAACAATAGAGTATTCGACAGGCCGACTACCTCTTGAGCACCGACTGCTGAGGCCGCAGGCGGCCAAAAAGTACTCGTCATAGAGCCACTTGAAGCTCGGGACGCAGTGCAGGGGTACTTGCTCTCGTACCCCTGAAGTAGAGTCGACCCTCGACTCTACTTTAAAGAGTCCTCTATCAAGGATCTCTTTCTTAGCCTTGGGGGGAACAGGCGGCATGCTACGGCCGCCTGCAAGAAGGGGCGGATTCCTGTTCCACCTATTGAAGCGCTTGTTTTGCTCAATGTCGGAACTCTCAATGATGAAGAAGGTGCTCCGCCAGTCCTTCCACTTGTTTGCTTTACCTCTTGTCATGAGGTAGCCCCTGTGGCTTGTCAATTGATACCAGCCGGTACCGCCTGTCTTAGGGGTCCGGCTGAGATAGTTCATATGGGCGAAAGCCTCGAAGCTCGGCTCCACCCCGTGCAGTTCGCACCCGGCCACATAGCCGAGTACGTTGACCCAGGAGTTTGGGGCTAACTGCCATAACCCCAACTCATACCCATCCAAAATCCGCTGAACAGCCGGATGTAATGGGAAGCGAAGCCCTGCCTTGATGGCCGCCTCGTAGCAGCCAAAGCAGGAGCTTTCATAACTGGAACCAGCCGGCCAGACGACTGTGTCTTCTGGATCCGGCACAAACACTAGAAAGTCGGGGCCCATGGTGTGGTTTGCAATAAAGCTCTCCACTTTCTCTTGCATGGCTGTGATTCGGCCCCGAGGTACCGTGCAGTAGTAGGGGGTATTTAGCTCTCGGTAAGAGGTGGATGGTTCCGCCCAATTGTCCCCCTTCTCAACTGCGTGAGAAAGTCTCGCCTCTTGCAGGCGGCTGTTTTTCTCTTTTGTACCCAAAGAAGCATGGCCAGAAGAGCTTGACTCGGAATCGTCCTCCGACGAGTCTGAAGAGGACGACTCCTCCCCTCTCCCGGAGGGGCCCGCCTCCTCTCTTTGAAAAGGAGCAGATTTGTTAACTGTTAAATGGGAAGGGGTCACTATGACTCCCCCCACAGAATTGCCGCATCCAGGCCGCCTTGTTTCACTTCCACATCTGGCGCCTGGTCAGATGTTTCACTAATCGGCACCCTGTGGGAGGAGCCGTCTGAATTTGAGATCCTAGCTGTCTTTTTCGTTCTGGCCATCCTGCTCTGCATAGACACAGATACAGTCGGACTTTGTATAAAGGGCAAAGATGGGTCCGGAAAAGGGCAGGCGGCACTCCTAGTCATAGATTCAGCCGTCCCCGGTGACCGGCTGATCACTAACCTAGGTCGTGTCGTGTGCTTCCGTGGTGCCATTTCAGAAAATAAAAAGAAAATTAAGAGTAAGAGAACTGAGTTACCTGAACGAGTGACGGTTGATGAAGTTCTGGAAATCCGGTGCAGTCGGCTTGTCAGAACAGGCGGTAGGCAGAAAAGGTCCAAAATGTCAGAGCAAGTTCAGGGGTCCGAATGTTCTCAAAAAGTTCTCAAAGTGGTGAAAATGACTCAAGACAACTCTCCCTTATATAGGCGAAGTGAGAAGGCGAAGGGTCACTTTCAGAATTCAAAATTTGGGCGGGAAAATCTCTCGTCCTTTCGCCGACTGACACCTGTAGAAGGTCGCTGCCTGTTACAGTGCGACACCTGTCACAGGTAACACGTGACCAATCACGTGCCACCTGTGAGGGGCAAATGATTAGGGGATTTTGCTCCCACCAATCGAATGCGCCACGTGGGCCAATCAGGACCTGCCAAGTGTCCCCTAGTTGGAACTGTCAGGGCTTGCCACGTGGCACGCGCTTATTCGTCCACCTTGGACCTGTTATGTCAAGACATGTGGCATACTCCATGCCTAATGAGAAACCGGCCACCCAGGCCCAACTTCCGAGGGAAGCCCAATCGGCCCTAGGTTTACCTAAACCTTGGGTGGGCACGTTTCCCAAGGTTATAAATACCTCCCTTAATCCTCATTAAGGGGGATTACAGAAACATTACGGAAAAAACACATTAATTACACACAGTAATAACCGGCTGATCTCGCTAACAAAGCAGATTACTACGTTAATCACTCTCACCTAGAGAGACCTAATCACTTTAATTTCCGCATTAATTACTCCTTAATCAAGTACTAACTTGACCGTTGGAGGCGGAGCTCACAGGAGTCTCCGTTATTTTGCAGGTACAGGCGTCCCCGTTCCAGTCTCGGAATTGTAACTCTCCCGCAGGACATCAGAAAACCCCGAAACAAATATAATTTATGATTTGAGTGTTTATAATTTTAATCTTATTCACTACTAATATGAATAGTAGTAGTATATATGTTTTTAATCTATTTCTACTAGTAATATAAATAGTGGTAGAATCTATTTTTAAAGTAATGCTCATTTTACTCAAAATGAGGTAATACTTGTTTTGTTTCTAAAAATATTTTTATACTTGTTTTATCAAAGACTTTGAATTAAGAAGTTATTAATGAGTATTTATTATTTTTGGGTATGATCGAATAAATCATGACGATGAGGAATTAATGACGAGGTTGAGAGTTCGAATGATGATTATTGGAGAACAAGCTAAGTGAGATGATTAAGGATGATCGAATGAGGTAATCATTATGTCTAGCAATTGTGTCTAGTCATGTATATGTAACTATTATATATGTCTAACAACTGTGTTTAGTCCCGAATGTGTGTCAATTATGTCTGGTTATTGTGAATGCACGTGTGGAATCATAAATGCATGTTATTATATAACATGTATGTTTGTATGATATGTTTGACTTGTTATGATTTAAAAGCGTGTAATGTGCAAATGACATGACATGACCTTACCTTTTATATCCTAGTATATATTTTTAATGACTTATGATATGATAAATGTTTATTGATGTATTTCAGCCTTATGATTTATATTAATGATTTTATATATACAATGTTCAATTGATTTGCGGATCTCTCGAAAGTATGTTAATAATCTACGAATAACTTATTAAAAGATACACAACATAATAAATGAAAGTGAAAGACCTAGTCCATCTGGCAGTATATGTTATGTTTCGGTCATGCAATGCATGTACCCATGGGGCACCAGCCCAACTATGTCGAGCACCTGCTCTATGTTATGGGCACCGGCCCATCGCGGAAAACGTTCCGCCATGTCATACTGTCCAGTGACTAGCATGTCCACCAAAAATATTACGAATACATGAATTTTATTAAAAGACTTATGAGAACTCAGAAGGATACTCTATTGATGAGTTTTACGATGTACTGATATGTACGATAGTTCATAAAGATATCTTAACATCATACAAGGTGATAAGAATGCTATGAACGACATGTATTTCTAGTTATTTTATTAATTTATAAATTATGTGTAAGTGAGTTGTTATGTTAAAGCCCTTGTTAAATGTTTACCGCTAATGATTATTTTATTCAATTAAGTGTTACGAATTAATGATTATGATGTGTGTCAATGTGCTATGAATTTTTATGAAGTGTAAAGTTGTTCTGAAATGATTTAATATGATACGATAGATGAAACTTTTGTCGGCATTGGAAAAGTGAACTAAACGTTGAAAATAGGCGAGTTACAGGTGAAGGAAAGTATGTTAATGAAAGGGGGAAACATTCCCACACGAATGAAAGTTATGTTATGTCCAAAACCTGTACTTACCTATGATCTTATATAAAGGGAATGATCCTTGCCGACACAACTTTTAAAAGTAATGATGTTAGATTATTTCTGAACAACTATGTATGTATGATATATGCTCAAATGATTTTGAAAGAAAAACTGTTTTTACATGCTAGAGTAATGCTACTGAGTTTTCAACTCATTTTTGGATTTTCCTGTATTTTCTCTGTTTTCTATTTTTATGGATAATTATAGGGATAATGATGACAGAGCTGAAATTAATCAAAAGCAAAAGGATTAAAGGAATTTAGTTAGTTTAGGGATTATGGAATCAAGGCTTATGTATTATGGATCATCGAGAGCTGAGATAGATTGATTATTTTATTACAGTTTGGAAGACTGAAGTTGTTTTTTTTTTATTATTGAATATTCTCATTAAGGAGTATGTTTATTTGTGGGCCCATAACCCACAGGTGGCTATGAGATTATCTATATATAATTGATTCTGCTTAGTATGATGAGTAAAGAATGGTTTATCTATGGTTAATTAATTCCGCTGCGAATGACGAGTTATATACGGTCAGGTGACGCCGATTATAAGTCGGGGCGTTACAGTTAGAAGGGTAAAAACTCAAAAATGGACGTCATTTAATTACAAGTTTGTCACTTGTTATATAATCGATGTTATTAGGGATTTCAAAAATTTATTCCACCCGAAAAATTTATTGGAAACTACTGTTTTTTAACTTATTTGATCTTAATGAAGGAAGTAGGGCTATATCAGGGCTATCTTTGTAATTCTGCCAGAAGAACCAAGTTTGATAGGATAACCACTCTTGACAGCTGCTAGGGAATCTTTGCCGTTATTTTATCTTAGTTGTTTTGTCTTATTATAGAAAAGCTATGGTTTTATCATCATTGTATATATTTGCTTCTCTGCACTCTGATTCTGCAATGAGAATGATCAGTTGTTTTTTCTCCTAATTGCCTTGTTTTCATCCCCTTGCATCACACTGTTAATTTTAGTCATCATGGTATCAGAGCAATGATGCAACATCAGGATTGTTGTAGGCAGATACATATCATTCTCATTTGTTTTCCTTTACTTAGCTGCTGATTTTATAATTTCTGTCTTCTTTTCTTTTCTTCTTCTCTTCATACCTTCTGTATTTTCTCTTCTTCTCTCCATTTTCTGGTTTTTTCTATTCATCTGCTTCTCTTCTTTGTTATGGTTGCTGATACAGGTAGTGTTCTTTACCTACACCCTAATGATGGATCTTACTCCATCAGTGTTGATAAACTCACTGGATCATCCGATTACAGATCTTGGAGAAGATCAATGGAGATTGCTCTTTCAACCAAGAAGAAAGTTGGTTTTGTTAATGGCACAGTGCTCAGATCTGCTTATGCTGCTGATCCAGTCAAAGTAGAGCAATGGGATACCTGCAATTCTATGGTAATCTTTTGGATTCATGGTTGTTTGTCTGATACTATTAAAAAATTTGTGCTGTTTGTTAACACTTCTAGAGAAACTTGGATTCAACTTGAAAAATGTTTCTCTATTTCTAATGGTTCCAGAAAATACAAACTAAATAAAGATCTATACAGTCTGAAACAAAATGGTAACTCTATTAATGTCTATTTTACAAGCATGTCTAGTCTGTGGGAAGAAATAGATGTTGTGAATGCATTGCCTGTTGTTACCGAGTCTAATGCTAAAATTAGATCCTTGTTGAGTGCTATATCGAAATATCAGGAAGAACAAAAGTTGTTTCAGTTTTTAAATGGTTTAGATGAACATTTTGGAGCTATGAGGAAACAGTTGCTCATACTCATACCCCTAACCACTGTTGAATCTGCTTGTTCTCTTCTATAACAAGAGGAGAGTCAGAGAGAGGTGTTACTCTCCCCTAAATCTGATCTGGACATTTCAACTATGTATAGCAAAAAACTCAAGTTCATCTGGTTATCTCAGAAATTCTGGAAACCCAGTTTTTCAACCAGCAGCACCAGTGACCTTAGATCTGCTGGGTGTTCTGTTTGTGGTGTGAGAGGTCACACCCCTGATAGATGCTGGAAGGTTATTGGATATCCTAGTTGGCACCATAAATCAAAGTCAAACTCTACTCAGTCTAGAAATGGAGTGCAAGATCAAAAATGGACCAAGCCATCTCCAAAACTAGTTGTTGTAGCTAAGTCATCTTACAGCTGCAAACAACTCTGGAATTGTAACTCTCACTCAGCATCAGTTTGATTAGTTGTTGAAACAAATCTCTCTTCAACTTAAGGGCAATGACACTGATGAGGAACTTGATTCTAGTTTCTTAGGCATGGTTTCTTGTAATACTGCTGCTGTTGTCTCTTCTCCTGACTGGATTATTGATTCTGGAGCCTCAGACCACATGACCTCTTCTCTGGAATTTGTTATTAATCCCATAAAATGTCAGCAACCTCTTACTATCAATCTCCCTACAGGTGCTACTTCTCAAGTAACTCATATTGGCACTGTAGAACTTCCTAACTCTCTATATTTGCAGAATGTTCTTGTAATACCTCATTTTAAACACAATCTTCTATCAGTTCACAAAATGATGAAGGATTCTCAATGTAAGGTGGCATTTAGCAATACACACTGTGTTGTAAGAGATGCTGTTTCAAAAAAAATTAAAGAGATAGGAAAAGCTAAAAATGGCTTGTACTATCTTTCTTCTACTACATTTAATACTGTTCTTGACAATGCTACCCATGTCTCATCTCAGACCTGCTTGTCTGTTCAATCAGACTCAGAAAAAGTGCCCTTTGCTGTATGGCACCACAGGCTTGGTCATGCCTCAATTGTCAAACTAAAACACATTCAGTGTGTCAAGCATTCTATTTCTGAAAACACACAAGTCTGTGTTACTTGTCCCATGGCAAAATTCACTAAGTTGCCATTTGAACTGAGCTCATCTAGAGCTTCTGAGTCCTTTGAATTGATACATATGGACATTTGGGGCCCTTATAAGGTCTGCACTAGGGGGAAATACAGGTATTTCCTGACTATAGTAGATGACTATTCCAGAAAACTTGGATTTATCTCCTACAGCAGAAGTCAGAGTCCCTTTCCAAGATCAAAGAATTCTCTAATTATGCTCATGCTCATTTTGGTAAGAGAATCAAGTTTCTGAGATCAGACAATGCCCTTGAGTTTCATGATCAGTATTGCCAAGAATTTTTTGCTGATCTTGGAATCATTCACCAGATTTCATGTGTAGAAAGACCACAACAAAATGCTAGGGTGGAAAGAAAACACAGACACATACTTGAAATAGCTAGAGCTATAAGATTTCAGGCAGGACTGTCTCTGTCTTACTGGGGGGAGTGTGTCATGGCTGCAGTGCACTTGATAAACAGGCTTCCTACCCCTGTTCTGCACAATAAAACACCTTTTGAGGTGTTATTCAACTGTGTCCCAGAGTACTAACATCTTAAGGTATTTGGATGCCTTGCTTTTGCTGCTAACCCTAATGGTTCTTCAGATAAGCTACAACCCAGGGGAATTCCATGTGTTTTTCTGGGATACCCTGCAACTCAGAAAGGATATAGAATCCTTAACATTCAAACAAAGAAGATATTTGTCTCTAGGGATGTGACATTCAATGAAACAATCTTACCCTTTCAATTAACATCTCTTGATCAGTATATGAATCCTGTTCCTACAATTCTCACAGATAAGACCAATTTCAATTCTGCATATGTTGCTGAGATATATGATTCTGGTTTTGATAATGACATCATTGGTGAGTCTGATATTTCAAGTGCTTTTCAAAATTCTTCTCTCTCTCAACACTCTTCTTCTATTCCTCCTCTTTCTACTTCCCAACCTTCTCAAAATTCTGGTGTTGGTAGCTCTTCTGTTGAACAGTCTCTTGAAAATGACTGTCAAGTTAGACAAAGCTCTAGACTCACCAAACCTCCTTTCTGGGTGAAAGACTATGTTCAACCTAAAAAGAGGTCAGAATTGAAAATTTCCAATTTGGCTACCCAAGATATATCTCAGGATTTTTACTGCTTCATGATTGTTCTTGAGAAAAATCAAGATCCTATTTTTTACAAAAATGTTGTGACTGATCCAAATTGGGTCACTTCCATGAATCAAGAGCTAGAACAGTGTGAAAAAAATGGCACTTGGTTGGTTACTGCTTTACTTGAGGGAAAAAGGGTAATTGGGTGCAAGTGGATTTATAAAACCAAATATAAATCCAATGGAGAGGTTGAGAGACATAAAGCAAGGGTTGTTG